ACTCAGTGGTATGGGCAAGCCCTGGATGACGGTGAAATTCCGGGTGACGGGTAGCGGGAAGTGACGGAAGGTTTAGGCAGCTCACCAAAATAGGAGTCATCGGTTTTCACGTCCACCGCCGGCTTCTCGCTGCTGGAATTGACGCCCTTTGATGATCTGGAAAACAAAGTGACCTCTCAGTGGAAAATCCGCTAAAATTGGAATCAGAGAATAGAACAACGATGACAACAACACGCCGTACAGAGAGAATGTTGGGAGCTGTGTGACTCACCTCGATGATTCAGACAAAATGTTTTTTCCTGAAACACAAAAAAAAGGAAGAAGTGAGATTCCCAATTTCATAATTTGAAGACATTCTGAACTGTGAAGGAGATAATTGTACATTGTAATATAAATCTAGATACAAGGAAACATCTGTATAACAATTCAGATAATTCATGTCACAAAACATGCAAATGGGAAGACTCAGGGGATACAACCTAATTTGACTATTCCAGGAGAAGTCAGGATCAGCTTCCCACGTCTCTTTATATACTGATCACTTTGACATGCAGCTTCCGCTTTGCGTAATATCTAATTATATGTGTTTCATTGTCCAGGTTTACATCAAGTGAGTTACAACAGTATCTAGTAACAAGTTAGAAACCTCTACCAGCCTGCAGTAACATGGGACAACAACATGCCGTCACTCACGTAGTGTCTAGCAATCTTCAATAACATGGCAACAGTCTTTAATGACATGGAAACAGTCTCTATCAATCTTTAGTAACATGGTAGCAATCTCCGCCAACATGGAAGGAGTCAATAGCAGTCTCCAATAAACATGGCAGCACTTTGTAGCAATGCTATATGTCTAATAATTGTAATATTACAAGTCACCATCCATAACTCTTAACCAAACATCAGGCCACACACTAGGACAAGGCGTTGGCAACCTTGGGTCCTCCAGCGTTGGTGAAGCTACAAATCCCATTGACTCGGCCTCTGGAAAGTCATGCTTGTCGCTGTCGGAGTCTTGCAATGCTTCATGGGACTCGTAATTTCAGCACAGCTGGAGGTCCAGAGTTTGTCTGCCACCAATTTTGGGATTTGTTTTTTTTAAATTCTTTATTGGACAACAGCTTAAGGAGACAATCCACTGAACAAGAGAGGGCAGCCGCCCAACATATATCATTAACATCGACTGGGACATCACATACGTGTCCGCACACAGGATAAGATACATTCAGCGGACAGAAGTGATACATTACAATAAACAAGAACATCGTTCTACACATTAGACCAAAAAAACATGTCTCATGAACATATCATCATATATGAACACGTCAACAATATCATCCACCACTTTATAATACTCTAGTCACGAAAACAAGAGCTACAGCATGTCTCGTGTTCGATGTGTAGGAGTGCATCCCCAGAATTTTGGGATTTTTAATACTTCTCTCAGGATCCCTTAAAGCAAGTCTTCGTTATTGTGGTTTAAGGAGACATTACCTTTTTTCTTTTTGTCCAGATACAAGTAGAGGGCAATACCTATGGCAGCCATGATAATGAGAAAGACGAAAGTGCCGATGACGGCCTTCTTCCATCTGGCGAGGACGGCTGAAAATAGAGGTCAAAGGATGAGATTTCACTGCTTCAAATCTATCATTTATCATTACACCTGTGCCTGGAGACATCGTACTTCTACAATCACCATCCCATGAACACTTCTTTGTTTTTCTGGAACTTCAATTATTATCAAAGGCGTTACAACTAGATATGTGTGTGAGCCCTACCAGACCAGACCATGCATGCTTCTACTCTAGGAGTTCCAGTTATCTTGCAACCTCCAGAAAGATAATGGTCAAGGGCGGACCTACCACTGGTGCAGCTGGTGCAGCTGCACCAGGGCCCAAGGCAGGGGGGGGGCCCAGTGAGATCAAGTCTAGGCCACCTCCCCATTGGAGGATGCAATGGTCCAACGGGTTTTGTGGACCAGCTGCAGTCTCTGCCCCACAAAGTGTCGGCAGACACGTTCCCTTGAGTGGTGCGGAGGTGGGCGGGTCTAGAGGTGTCTGGGGTGCTGCACAACTCCTGGCCTGCTGGGCTGCTCTTCTGGGACGATGGCAGTGCGGTGATTGGGACAGGCTTGAGCCCCGGTCGAGGAGATGGTAAGGAGCTAGCTTGGAGGATCCGGGCTGTCATGGCGAAGCGGCTTTTGTTGCTGTACACAAGCTGGTGATGCCATATGCTGCAGTGTGTATGGGTGGTGCAGTGGCGGGTGGTCATCAGACAGACTTCTGGGGGAGCCCAGAAAATATCTTGCACCGGGGCTCTTTGGTCCTTAGGTCCACCACTGATAATGGTAATGACTGATGTCTCTTGGTAACGCCCCACAAGATGGACTTAAAGGAGAACTATGAGGCGAGTGAAAATCACTCATCCTCATAGTTCAACTTCTAGCTGACCTGTGACACTGAAACTGTCACAGATCAGCTTAGTAGATTGGGAAGTGAGCGAACACATACCGGCGTTCACTCACTTCTCGATCCTGTCACTGCAGAGAGCCGTGACAGGGGAGTGGCTGGATTCACCCCTCCCCGCTCCGATCCGCCAGCGCTGACTGGCTGAACGAACGGGAGAGGGGGCGGGTACAGCTGGCTCTGCCTCTAGATAGGCAGAGCCAGCTGTCACTCACGCAGCTGGGTGGATCCAGACATAATTGTCGGGATCCGTTTCAGCTGCGGCGTCTCAGTATATAGGGAGCTGTAGCTCGTGGTATACTGAGCTTTGGGTGACGGGAGGACGCTAGTTTGTGTCCTCCCGTTACCCTTAGGAGAACTATGGGGAAAAGCCCTGACCCCATAGTTCTCCTTTAAGCTTCTATCGACCTACTTTTGTAATTGGTTCATGTCAAGTCGGTACAGAGATAGTGTTACATACTGTAGTTACATAGTTACATAGTATTTGAGGTTGAATAAAGACACAGGTCCATCAAGTTCAACCTATCGCGTGTATGCATGTGATGTGTTGAAACTGTAGACATCTCCTGCAATGTCTTCAAGCACCAGTTTCGCAATTTGAATCCAAGCTCTGTACCGACTTTTTTGGGGGAAAACCATCAACCAATTACAAGGGGATAGAAATTCAGCAGCAATTATTATTTCCAGCACTGACTATGCAACTGAGCTCCTCAATTATAAGTTTATCTTAGACTACTGATAACCTAGCGGGTGAGGGGGACACTATCCTTTGGCTTTCTAATGGAAGTAGAGCTAGGAATTCTCATACAGCATGTGTATGAGTTTGCCATCAACTTTACAAAAACTGGAATACATTTGGGGGCCGGTGGCCTTTGGTTTCCACCCAAGTGTACGTCAGGTGGGGGACCTTAAATGCAGAGGTGTAGAGTTCTTGAGAAGATTTGTGAAGTGCTGTAAAATCAATTGGTTCTACATCAGGGATGGCCAAACTGCAGCCCTCCAGCTGTGGTGGAACTACGAATCCCATGAGGCTTTGCAAGATTCTCTCAGCCACAGACATGACTCCCGGAGAGAGATGCTTCATGGGATTTGTAGTTTCACCACAGCTGGAGGGCCGAAGTTTGGCCATCCCTGTTGTACATAAATAAGTAAAACATGAAAAATAAATAAATGGGACCTTTGACTTCCATGAACTCGCTCCCCACGCTCTTGTTGGCTTGGTTGGAAGCCGCACAGGAGTAGGCGCCGTCCTTCTGTTTGGTAAACGATGACACTGTATGTTCGGCGTGCTTGCCATCAGTTTTGGTCACAGTTTCCAGTAGATTCCCATTGGCATAAAAATTGAAGGTGATGGGCAAAGTTCCATGTTTTGCTTTGCACACCAAGGATAGTTCTGCCCCCTCTTCTACTTCTCCGTTTTGTGGGATAATCGTAAGCCTCACTTCTCTAACAGGAGCTGCATGGACAAAAAAAGACCAGAGGTTCAGGTGGGATGAGTCTGAAATACATTGAAATGGCCTTTCCAACAGAAGCCCCAACGTTATTATCTCAAGTTCCTTCTCTCCATCCTCAATAGTTTCTTCTGAGGTCCTAAACCTGCCCTGGCTCTGATCCTTTGCTCCATTAGTTCTGGCCTTGGCTGATTTGGATACTGTCTCTTCTATTTTGATGTTCCATCTGGCAGTTAGTCCTCTACTTACTGAACAGCAATAAATGTCCTTCTACATACACTGGATTTGTCCTTCTACAGACACTGGATTTGTCCTTCTAAAGACACTGGATTTGTCCTTCTACAGACACTGGATTTGTCCTTCTACATACACTAGGTTTGTCCTTCTACATACACTAGGTTTGTCCTTCTACATACACTGGATTTGTCCTTCTACAGACACTGGATTTGTCCTTCTACAGACACTGGATTTGTCCTTCTACAGACACTGGATTTGTCCTTCTACAGACACTGGATTTGTCCTTCTACAGACACTGGATTTGTCCTTCTACAGACACTGGATTTGTCCTTCTACACACACTGGATTTGTCCTTCTACACACACTGGATTTGTCCTTCTACAGACACTGGTTTTGTCCTTCTACATACACTGGATTTGTCCTTCTACAGACACTAGGTTTGTCCTTCTACACACACTGGATTTGTCCTTCTACAGACACTGGTTTTGTCCTTCTACATACACTGGATTTGTCCTTCTACAGACACTAGGTTTGTCCTTCTACACACACTGGATTTGTCCTTCTACATACACTGGATTTGTCCTTCTACATACACTGGATTTGTCCTTCTACAGACACTGGATTTGTCCTTCTACAGACACTGGATTTGTCCTTCTACAGACACTTGATTTGTCCTTCTACAGACACTGGATTTGTCCTTCTACAGACAGTGGTTTTGTCCATCTACAGACACTTGATTTGTCCTTCTACACACACTGGATTTGTCCTTCTACAGACACTGGTTTTGTCCATCTACATACACTGGATTTGTCCTTCTACAGACACTGGTTTTGTCCTTCTGCAGATACTAGGTTTGTCCTTCTACACGCACTGGATTTGTCCTTCTACATGCACTGGATTTGTCCTTCTACACACACTGGATTTGTCCTTCTACATGCACTGGATTTGTCCTTCTACACACACTGGATTTGTCCTTCTACATGCACTGGATTTGTCCTTCTACACACACTGGATTTGTCCTTCTACATACACTGGATTTGTCCTTCTACATACACTGGATTTGTCCTTCTACAGACACTGGATTTGTCCTTCTGTAGACACTGGATTTGTCCTTCTGTAAAATGCTGGGAAGTCATTAAAGATATTGAATTCATATAAAAAGACAGAGAGACATACTGATAACGGTGATATTGAGGACGTCACTGGATGCGTTGGACCTGTTGTTCCTGTTGGAGGCATGACATTGGTACTGCCCCAGATCATGCCGTTTGGTGGTGTTCACCTCAAATACGGCTTCTCTGTTATCATTCATCTCCTTCCTGCCGAGCTGCTCTCCCTCTCGGTACAAAGCATACATGATGGGAGGGGTGCCAGTCGGTGATCTGCAGGTCAGTGTTAGGGTGTCTCCGAGGACCACCATTTTGTTTTCTTTGACAATTTGCTTGAGCTCAGGCTTGGAAACTGCAGCTGATGGAGAAAGGTCAAAGGTTAGAGGCTAAAAAGAACCAAATATTCTGAGAAGACGCACACTGTCATCTTTTATACAGTTTACTAATCCAGCTCGGCTTCCTCCTCCACAACCTGAGAAGATGCACACTGTCATTGTGTGTACAAATTATTGATCCAGCACTGCTTCCTACTCCCCTACCAGACAGGATACACACTGTCACCTTATATGCAGATTACTGATCCAGCATTGCTTCCTACTCCACTACCAGACAGGATACACACTGTCACCTTATATGCAGATTACTGATCCAGCATTGCTTCCTACTCCACTACCAGACAGGATACACACTGTCATTGTATATACAAATTATTGATCCAGCACTGCTTCCTCCTCTACTACCAGACAGGATACACACTGTTATTGTATATACAAATTATTGATCCAGCTCGGCTTCCTACTCCACTACCAGACAGGATACACACTGTCACCTTATATGCAGATTACTGATCCAGTACTGCTTCCTACTCCACTACCAGACAGGATACACACTGTCACCTTATATGCAGATTACTGATCCAGTACTGCTTCCTACTCCACTATCAGACAGGACGCACGCTGTCATTGTATATACAGATCACTGATCCAGCACTGCTTCCTACTCCACTACCAGGCAGGATGCACGCTGTCATTGTATATGGAGATTATTGATCCAGCATTGCTTCCTCCTCCACTACCAGACAGGACACACACTGTCACCTTATATACAGATCACTGATCCAGCACTGCTTCCTACTCCACTACCAGACAGGACGCACGCTGTCATTGTATATACAAATTATTGATCCAGCACTACTTCCTCCTCCTCTACCAGACAGGACACACACTGTCACCTTATATACAGATTACCGATCCAGCACTGCTTCCTCCTCCTCTATCTCAGTATGCACACTCTGCCACCTCATGTACTGTATTTTCTAGCCCTCCAGATTGTATGTATAGGGAGGTTTCTCTCCCTTCTATTTAATCATTTAGCTGCTACGTTCATTTGTATACAACTTTGTGCAATTGTCAATGGAAACATTTCATGTAATGGACTCTAGACGGGAATAGAATTCTAGTTTTCCGGCGCTCAGACTCAGACACGTAGAGCTGTGTGCGTGCATTTAACATAGGCAGAGGTGTGGGCATATGAGCTTCTCAACCTACTCACCATAGACCTTTACCTGCACCTGCTCACTAGTTTTAGTGATGTTGGCGATGGTGACTTCACATTTGTAGTCTCCGCTGTCCGCTGCCCTCAGGTGCATCTGGAGTCTCCCTCCCCTTGCCATATTTCTTCGTCCTTTGTCATTGACTAATAAATAAAAATCCTGTTTGATTGCCTCCTGATGTGGTAAGCTAGGAACTGAACATTCCAGGACCACCAAATCTCCATCATTGATGTACTGAGTCTTCCTGCTTGGCTTGAGAGTTAGACGAGGTTTTGGGAAGAGCTCTGGGAGAGAATTACAATTGTGTTTTATTGCATTGTACTAATAAAATATTCTAAAGGTTTTCCCCTTCTCTTCTCCCATCCTCTACCTCCATAAACCGACAGAAACAAATTACAAGAACCAATCAATGTCTCACTGTAGTAAACACTGCATAACGGAGAATGTGGAGCTTCATGGTCTTCCAATGCAATCTGGTGACTGACAAACGTAGACATAAATCCACAAAGCTTCCTCCAAAATTATTTTACATATTGGCACCCATATTTTTGTCGGAAGAATTAAAGAAGACCGCTATATTTATGTAAAATGGCCACATAACATCACACAAAAACAACGGCCATATCTATGAGAACATCCTTCATTTTTTTGAGGTTCTCATACTATGTACTGGCTAGAACATGTCAAATTTGACTCTTTTGTCTAGCTACTCCTTGTCCCCAACATGTCATGGCTGAGCACATCTGAGCCAGGAAAACAAAAGCACTCTAACCCTATGATGCTGTGGAAACCTTGCCTGATTTGTTAATGGGTGAAGTGGTCTGTGACATCTAGGAGCAGTTAAACCATTACCAAGAAAGCGTGCCCTCCAGCTTGGTTAAAATGGCAGATGGGTTCCAAGAGCCTATCCCCATTCAGATAGATAGATTGGATACAATTATCCAATCTATCTGTAATATAAACTGCGGGGTGGGAAGGTTTGAAATATGTATAAATTATCAATAAAGCTTTGATTTGTTTATAATGGAGGGTCCCCTATTGACTTGTTAACAAAAACGATTTTTCCCCGAAAAAGGGGATCCCACCACTGTTTCAAAATGTTTTCAAAATTTTTGACCATACACTTTATATTAGTCGTAGAAAATTATTTATTAAATATATATTAAAATTGCACATATATCAAAAAATCCATATAAAAAAACATCAACAAACATATAAGTGGCTGCATACGGCTGATAAATAAGAAAACATGCGTGTGGATAAACATTGGTTAGAGGGCACACCCTGAAAAGCTCCACTTTATGAAGATATAAGGATTGGATTCCCAAAGATTGGAAAGGGGATGTCAGATGTCGTCATACACGTGTATGGAAAAATGCAAAAAGAAACATGAAAAAATATATATCATTTGTGTAGATAAAATGGATTTCACTCACAGTACTGTGTATGTTCGCCCATAGAGCAAAGTAGGAGGATCGGAGTGGTTTTACTATGGATATAAATTAATTTCGGCTTGATATGCAGATAGTTCAGGAGATCTCTAGCCTCATCTCGGCTTTTACTCCCAGCCGCAGATATATGCCTTTGCTGAACACATGCTTATCTGTAGTGGTGATTTTCTCCAAGATGGAAAGAAGATCTTAGCGACCTGCTAATATCTTCTTTCCATCTTGGAGAAAACCACCACTACAGATAAGCATGTGTTCAGCAAAGGCATATATCTGCGGCTGGGAATAAAAGCCGAGATGAGGCTAGAGATCTCCTGAAAGATCTGCATATCAAGCCGAAATTAATTTATATCCATAGTAAAACCACTCCGATCCTCCTACTTTGATCTATGGGCGAACATACACAGTACTGTGAGTGAAATCCATTTTTTCTACACGAATGATATATATTTTTTCATGTTGACTGTTTCTTTTTGCATTTTTCCATACACGTGTATGACGACATCTGACATCACCTTTCCAATCTTTGGGAATCCAATCCTTATATCTTCATAAAGTGGAGGTTTTCAGGGTGTGCCCTCTAACCAATGTTTATCCACACGCATGTTTTCTTATTTATCAGCCGTATGCAGCCACTTATATGTTTGTTGATG